TTGCGTATGTGACATTTTTGGCAGAGTTTATGGGTCCTAGTGAGGATCTGACTGCAGTCGAGAAGAAGACTTCAGGGTTTGACCTGGAGGCTATGAACTGATTATTTTGGGTGCGGGCAGTAGATCCCCTCTGGTGGATGCGACTTTTCAGCTCCTTGTAAACTGGGCAACCTCTATAGTTAGCAGTGTGATTTCCACCGCAGTTGCCGCACTTTTTCAAGTTCTGGTCATCTTTGCTCGCTGGGCAGTGTGCGGAGTCATGAAGGTCACCACAAACTACACACACCGGGCGCAGTTTACAGTAAGACCTTGTATGGCCATATTCTTGGCAGTTCGCACATTGTACCGGGCCATTGCGTTTGTGCGGTTCCTCAACTGTAATTCTGCGGTACAGCAGGAACTGAAGATTGTATATAGGGTGCACTTCGTATTTCCTGTGGCTCGAGCTCAACCTTAAAGAGTGGCTGTGGCTTTCTATCCCTGTTAAGGATATTGAAGACTGTCTTGGCGCTAAATCCCTTCTCTTGTAGCGCCTTTGTTATCTCTGCAGGCGATACTTCGGGCTCTATGCCCTTAAGTACGACTTGCAGGCCCTTGCTGCTTTTTAGCTGATATGTGTAAAAGTTCTTTTTTTTTGTCGGTGAGGTATTTCGATAATACTCTGTAATTATCTTCAGACTTTGTTTGTACTTTTGTTTCCTGGATATTGCCCTTTACGAGTGGTATTATGTGGAAGTTTTCCTTGCCAATAAGCTCTATAATTTTGTTGACAAGAACGTTGGAACTTTTTTCTCGTATGTAAATTGGCGGGGGCTTAGGCTTCCTTTTTTCGACTTATGTAGATTCGGCGTCATCCTCATAGTCTGCCAAGATTTTAAAACGGTTTCAGTTCGTGGGCGTTTCTATTGCAGCTATGTATGTTAGCATTGCCACGGGTTATTTTGCGTTGAGAGTTAAGGTGGCTCAGCTTCCTTTTGATTTGGATGTACCGATCCATACCAGTCTGCACAGCCGGCTTAGTATTTTCCTTGTTATTGTTATCTTTTTCGGGCAGCGCAGCGGCAGAAGTATTAATGTTTGTGCTGCTAACTGATGACGTCGTTAAACGCGCTGTCGTTACAGTTGCGGTTGTTTTTGTTGTTACGGTTGACGTTGTCAAAGAAGTTGCGGTGCTAGTTACAGCGCTCTTTGGCTGCAGAGACAGAGAATTCGGTGAAGTTTGGGGTAATTGACCGTGTTTGTGATGAGCTTGCATTATTTTCGGTTGCTTTGAAAGTGAAGTAAGCGTTGTTTCTTTGTACTTGCCGTCTCTCGTCTTGCTCACGTTGACGTTGTGTGCGAACGTCGTTTAGACTCATTGCAATCGAGGTTGAGATTGTTCGAGTTTTAAGTGTTATGTTTTATATTAATTAATTAATTAATCAATATAAATATTAGTGATTTTATCGCTAAAAGCGTCTTTTCGCGTTGTTGTTGATTTACGAAACCAGTCACTACACTTTTTGATATTATTGAATACTTTTTCCCGGAGCACAATAAATACACGTCTGCATGCGACGACTAGTTGAATGGTATGTATTTTGTATTTGTATAGCACCAAACAAATAATTGAATGTATTTATTTTAATAGCACCAAGGCCTTAAATATACATAGTTTAGGTTTATGTGTAGGGTTTGTTGGGCAGGCAGACCGATTTTTCTGTGCCTTTAAGTCGGGAAAGTATATAAAGCGAAAGAATAGGCAGGCGATGAGCGACCATGACTTCTGCATGCGAGTACCAAGTCGAACTATCATAGAAGCTGCTTGCCATGGATAAAGGCCAGGCAGCGATAAGAAAAAGTGCAAAAGAGAGTTAGCAATTTCAATAAATGACAGTGTTGTCAGCGCAGGGCAAACAGCAAAACAAAGGCAAACATCGTGAATTTAATTTATGTTACAATTTGAATTTAATCATTCCAGTTAGGCTGCGGCATGACCGACCAAAAGTGTATAAAGGATGCAAAAAATAGACCAAAAATGGATATGCAAAAATATAGCAATAAAATATCTTAATGCAATTTTAAAACATCAGTTTTGCTAGTTCTGTGTGTGGCCTAGTCGATGTTAAGCCCGTTGTCGACTATATTTAAGAACCTTGAACCTTACAAATGTATATGTTAAGATGAGTGCCTGACGTCACAAATCTTTCTTAGAACGGGTGTTTTTTAGAGGTATAGAACTTTAAATTAAAATTAAACAACGATGGATTATTCAATAGACATGAATTTTATTTAGCCAAAAGATAATTTTGTGGCATTACATTTTAAATATGATTTCTGGCATATGACCGCCACGTATCGATTGAATGTAGTCCAATCTGGACGTCAAATTTTCGTTGACTTTTTCCAACATTTGTTGCCGCATATTGGCAATAACACAGCGAATATTGTCTTCCAAATGGTCAAAATGAAGTATTAAATGATGATGCTACGAGTGCGTTATGAATATTTTTGTTAGTGTTTGGTTTTCCCACCTGTTTGCTAGGTGTATGGATTATCATATCATTTTCAATATTCTCCAACATGCGGCACCTCTTTTCCAGGAATGCAGCCATATCCTTCCACTTCAGCAGCTTATTTGCCTGCAGACCCTCTTCCTATTTCTCTTGAGTGTGGCGATCCAACTTCGAAGCTACCAGATAGATCAGGAGACCGTCCATGATCTCCTGTGTCGTTGCCATGCGAATTCATCTGGTCGCTTAAGCGTCGTAAGCTTGTTGCCGATCCTTGCTCCACACCTGAAATCCTGCAGATTGACCGTATATGTGCCTGAAAATGCAAAAGATTGTTATCGAATCTCGAAACTAATAATTCAATAGCTTTTTCATAGTTAGCTTCCGTGGGCTCCAGTGAACGAATTGTGTCCAACGCTGTGCCATCCAAGCATGAACGAATGTGCTGGAACTTTTCCACGTTGCCCAGGTCATCATTTTTGCCCACAATGGTGTTGTACATTGCGTAGAAATCAGGCCGATCGATATAGGCACCGCTGGACCTTGGCAACTTGAATTCTGGGAGTCTTGTGGCACGCGCAGCGGGTCTCGAATCACCACCGACATGTGGAAGGGCCGTAGAATTGACGACTGAGAATCTACGCTGCTTGCCAAGCTCACGCGAAATTTGCGATTTTACCGCGAGGTAGATATTTACGAACTTTGACCGAGCGTCACTGTACAATTCATGCAAGTCTTACTTTTCGACTGCGGTTTGACTTTTATCAAAGTCTACTTGCATTTGATCGACAAAATCAAGTCGCACTTGAAGATCAGTCACGTCGAAGTTGACAGCCTCATCTGACTCCAGGTAGCTTTTTAAAGCTTCTACCTGTCATAAGGTAGCATCGGCTTTTGCTTTATAAAAGTCCAAGTCACTTGGTACCGACGCGGGTCTTGCACCAACCGAATCATTTTCAGCAATAGCTCTTTTCAAAAAGAGTATACGAAAGTCACAATCACTGTAAGTTGCCGATGCAACTGTACGAATTATCAATGCAAGAGAGACGAAATGTCGACGAAAATGCAACGGAACAAATTCGTAAGCGTTCACTGACCTCGTTTAACTCGGTTTATACACTGCAATGCACTTAATATAACCAAGTTCAAACGGTTGTTATGTATATGAACAAGATCACGAAGAAACGCGCCAACTAATACTCAAGTACATGAATGTAAGGAAGAGATGGTTGCGATCAGGTTGGCAACCCCACACAGCGGAAAGGAGAACGGATAATAAGAGAAGAGAACCACACAGTCAAGTCGAAGTCGTCAAGTTGTCAAGTCGTAAAGTCGTCAAGTCGAAAAAAGTTGTCGGTCGCAAAAAGTTGTTAAATTAAAAGAACATTAAAAGAGCACGTGAAACACACTATTATAATATTAATATCTTTCTTAATAAAAACTATATTACATGAATGTGTATGTATGTATGTTTGTAGGCCTCTTCACCGAACTGCGAAGTGGTGTCCAAATGCACTGATAGGCCTTTTCACCGATTTGTGAAAACGAAATAAAAAACACACCACACGTAGATCACGTCGGGGTCACCAAATGTTTAGAGGACTGCAACTAATTTGTTGCTACCGCTTTATGCACTTTTAAAAATAAGGCCAATGGTTTATGATTTAAATGAGATGTGATTTTGTATTTGAGGCTCTGAGTATTATTTGGTTTATGTTTATGTACACAGTTTATGCATTTTGCTTATAAACGATCGCGACCGACAATTTGGCACACCGAGTGCTTGCGAGGGTGAAGCGAGAACGAACAATTGAATGTATGAATATAAGTTAAGAGTTGCGAAAAGAAGAATGATAATGAAGATAGAGAAAACGAGATAAGCAAAGTTAGGTGCGATTGCAATTAGACGGGTGTTGGTAAACAATTTTACGTTTACGTTACGTTCCGTTAGCAGTTAGAATTTAAATTTGAACTTAGGAGATCGAAATGTAAAAAGGATAGGGGTTCTGCTCCGAGCAATAGCGAAGAGTCACCATACACAGAGTCCAACTCATCTTTGATTTCTGTAGGCGTATTGCCTTTCAAAAATAAAAATTTAATTACAGCTCGATTTTCAATTTTTTCCATTTTGGGGAAATCACCGAAATAGACTCACAAAAACGACACTCAACAGATAATTGCACTAGATAAATTTCTGAAATTTTGGCGAGTAGCTATTATAATATGAATAATTTGAAGTAGAAACTTTTTTTGAGATGTGCCGCTAGCTTGACGTTGAGGTCGGTTATTTATCAGACAGCCCTCGTATAAGCTTCGACTTGCCAAAACTACTAGCTCCATTCTTGTTAAATCTTTTTTTTCTTAATAATAAAAAAAATCCTTAAATATATATTGCAGGCGAAAACATTTAAAATCTTTAATCCAAATTACAAAGTTAACTAATGCTGCGAACCACATTAAATGCTGGGAATAACTTTAATGCAATGACGACATTAATGCGATACTTACTTCTTTTATTTTTAAAGGGATCTCAGTAATATTTCCTCGAACATTTATTTGGCGGATTAATAAAACCTTTTGAAGATCACAGCACTTAAGTCCCAATAGGTTTGATATATTTGAAATGGCTTCCTGGTCTGTATTTGAAAAATCGCATCCCTCTCCATCAATGTCCATAAACTCTATATTACCTAACCACAATATAGAACTTATTACTTTGAAAACGCCGTCAATTACAAATTGAGGAATTTGTAGAACCGTAAAAGCCATGGTAACGGCATCAAATTTTATTGATTCGATGTCTATGTTTATCTTTTCAGTGTTTGCAGTGTTTAGATATTTATAAAACTCCGGTGGCCTTAAAAAAAATGATCTTGCTATTTCGTTATTTTTTTGCCCCTGAGCCACTAACTGATACATTATATGATAGTTTCGTTCGCCTTCACTTTGAAATGTTATTCGTGACTGTTCAAGCAAGTAGTCTTGAATAATGCATCCTTTTATACTATTGAAGTCATCAAAACAAACTTGCATAAATTTTCCAAACCTAGAACTGTTATCATTTCGGATGGTTTTAGCATTTCCTGAAAAGAGAAAAAGACAAAAATTTAATACTACGATATTTTTTTACTGTTTCTAAAAGCAGCTCATTCTCAGTGTTGTTAGCCCTTTTTTATAAAGTAGAATCCCGATTATCCGAACATCCGATTATCCGGACTCATTCGTTCGTCAAAAATCTATAACAAGTTATTTCCAACCAAAACTTTATATTACATAGGTATTATGTAATTCATTATCCCTCTTTATAGCTTGTTTTTTATATATCGTATGATCTAATTAAAACCTATTCCATAATAAAAAATTATTAAAAATCTTAAATATTATTTGATTTGCTTTGAAATCGGTTATCCGGATTTTCGATTATACGGAATACCCCTGGTTTTAATTGAACCGGATAATCGGGATTCTACTGCACTCAGTTGTTTGTATCACAACAAAAACTTAAGGAGAGGAAGAGCTAAAGTTGTCTGAACAAGTAACACTGTCACAGACTTAAAAAATTGAATTTAGTGATTTAAAAATTGTCCTATGGCCAGATAACCGGTTACCGCGAGCTGCTGGTAACTGGATCTCAGCAGTTGGCAAAGTTTGGAAGTTTAAAATTAAATCCTCCAAGAAGGCAATCACGGTGGATCAAAGCCCGGGATCCTGAGCGTCGAGAAATCATAGTCCAAGACAAAAAGTGGTTCTTTTTTCGGAACTCGATTGCTCATTAATCTTCTTGCTTTAGCATATATCTATGTACATGTAAGCGTGCCGAAATAGTTCGGAATAAAAATTTACAAAAAAAAAAAAAAATAATTTGAAATTCGAAAAAAAAAAATCGGTGACGCATACTAAGATCGATTTGGGCGCCCAAAATACGAGGTGTGTAAAAGTATTGCGAGTTTTGAATTTTCGTGGGTTATCTCGTTTTTTTGTGGCGTTATGTTGGAACTCATTTCTCTCACTTATGCCGACAAGCTCGGCCATTTTGAATGTTCACTTAATTGTTGACAGCTGCTTTGTTGCACGTGTTTCGGATCGTCTTTGATTTTTACCTTTTCAAAAAAATGGATCAAAGAACCTGTATCAAATTTTGTGTGAAAAACGAAATTAAGTGCGTGGATGCATTCCAAATGTTGACTGTGGCATACGGAGAAGCTACCTTGGATCGAAGCAACGTTTATCGGTGGTACAAAATGTTCTAAGAATGCCGAGAAGATGTGAACGACGAAGAGCGTGCCGGTCGCCCCAGCACTTCAAGAACAGACGAAAAAATTAATGAAGTGGAGAAAATGGTATTGGGTAATCGTCGAATCACCGTTGGAGAAGTTGCTGAGGACCTAAACATATTGATTGGCTCGTGCCATTCGATTTTTATCAATGATTTGGGCATGAGACGGGTCGCCGCGAAATTCGTACCAAAATTGCTCAATTGCGACCAAAAACAGCATCGCAAGAACATTGCTAATGAGATGTTAAACTCTGTCCGCGACAACCCAAATTTGCTCCAGAGGGTCATAACTGGTGACGAATCGTGGGTTCATGGTTACAACGTGGAAACCAAAGCTCAATAATCTCAATGGAAGCTGCCGCACGAACCAAGACCGAAAAAAGCGCGCCAAGTTCGGTCGAATGTGAAAGTTTTGCTGACAGTTTTCTTCGATTGCAGAGGCGTGGTGCATCATGAGTTCTTGCCACAGGGAAGAACGGTCAATAAGGAATATTACCTGCAAGTTATGCGCAATTTGCGCAAAGCAATCCGCCAGAAACGCCCGGATTTGTGGAAGAGCGAAAATTGGCTTTTGCAACACGATAACGCCCCTGCTCACACATCGTTGCGCGACTTTTTGGCTAAAAATAACACATTAATGATGCCGCAGCCACCATTCCCCGGATCTGCCCCCATGTGACTTTTTCTTGTTTCCTAAACTGAAGAGGCCCATTAAAGGACGACGTTACGCTGCGCTTGACGAGATAAAGACGGCATCGAAGGAGAAGCTGAACAAGATTAAAAAAAAATGATTTTTTGAAGTGCTTCGAAGATTGGAAAAACCGTTGGCACAAGTGCATAATATCTCATGGGGATTACTTTGAAGGAGACAAAATAGATATTCATGAATAAATACACTGACGAGCAAAACTGTAACACGATTTCATTGTTTCAACTTCAAAGGTCTGCAACTTTTTTTCTAATGCACGGATTTTGAAGATCTTAGTCTGGTTTTGTAGGTTATATCATTTACTACTATTAAGTAAAATTCAAAGCCATTTAATATCAGTTAAAGAAAATGACGCGCCAAACTGTAAAAAAAGTCAAATGTTACAGTTTTTCACTTTGGTTATTTTTTTTAAGAAATATTTTTATTAATGATTTTTTAATAGTGAGTTCACATCCCCTTGGACTTTTTTAGCTCTTCTATGCGTCTGGGCATATTTTGGGTATACCGTCGTACCATTTCCGGGGGAATATCATTCCATTCGCCCTGTTGCCGCTCTCACAACTCCTTCATTCCACTTGGAGGAACTGCATATTTCTCCAGCTGCGATTTCACATGACTCCACAAATTTTCTGTTGGATTCATGTCGGGAGATTGTGGTCGCCACTTCATAGATTGCAATTTCTGTTTTGAAATCCAATTTTTTACCAATATGGACGTGTGCTTGGGGTCGTTGTCTTGCTGAAAAACGCATTTTTCGACAGAAAGACCCAACTTTCCAAAATTGCTTTGGACGATTTTCTTGTAAAATGGATAGATATTGCTCCTTTCGCATTATTCCATCGATTATCAACAAGGAACCAACTCCATTTAAATTAATGCACCCCCAAACCATGATGGAACCGCCACCGTGCTTGATAGCGAATTGGGATATTGTAAGTCATTGCTACCAGTGTCTTAAAAAGCAAACAATTCCAAAATACTTTTGTTTTCAAGGTTATATGGTCGAATGAAACAAAAATTAATCGCTTCGAGTCAGATGGGCGCTCTTGGTATTGGACTAGAGATCTCACGATCCAGTCACCAAGGAATGAGTGACAAACCGCTAGCGGTTCCACTGCACGCAGTATATAAGACGGAACAGGCCGGATCGGGCTACTATATCGGATAGCTCCTAACGAGAGATTGAAAAAAAAATTATTGCTCGGTTGTTTTTGATCATATCAACTTGATAGGAAAAATCGAAAAATATATGAATTTTGTTCGACATATTTGATCACTGCAAGGGTATGTATGTAAGCTTTGGCTTGCTTAACCTGCCCTGCAGTTCTGGCTGTCACCCGGTGTCTTTTGGCATTCAAGCAATCAATGTGTAGGAAAGGAAAAGGGATATTCCTAAGTTTCCCCCCTCTTTCTCACTCTTCGAATACGATCTCGTTGCTTCCACCCGACGGCGGCCCGACTCCAAATTTGTCTTCTATTCTTTCGTTTTTCTAATTGCACTGTTGTCATTCTCCGTTAGAAACAAAAAATTGGTTTTCGATGGAAAATACGGCTAAGGGGCGCTCGACTTATGTATACTCTTTTGATGTTAAAGTTCTTAAAATATTAAATATAATATATATATAAAGTTATATACAGATATAATATATTTTATATATACAACATTATTTAAATTATTGAACCAGGATAACCATAACATAACATTGATTGCAAATATAGATATAATATAACTCGCGTGTCATTTATGGTCGGTTATACCCAAAAAAGAAGGGTATACTAAAAGGGTGAAAAATAAAATTGAACTGCTCATTCTTTTGCGTTGTGCGTTGACAGTAAGTTGTGAAATTACTTAATTTGCGCAACGGGCAGCGGAATTGTTTAAAAATCATGTAAGTGTCGTTTATATTACAAAAATATTATGTCTTTTACTACAAACTTATTTAAATCTTTTTAGGATTCAGCCTGTATGTACGACAAATTCGTTTGAAAGGTAAGTTAGCTTTAAATTAAAAAAAATTAATACATATATAATATGTAATAATAAAAAAATTTTTACCATAGATGGACGCAAAACAACCGATGTCCTGCAAATATTCCACATAAATGGTAAACAAAAACGTTCTAATTTCATATTATTTATGTACTTATCTCTTATGTTTCAAAATAAGATTAATTAATAAAATAAAAAAAAATATATATATATATTGTTTTTCATATGAATTTGGGGATGACATTTTAGACATTGGGCTAGATGACAACATCGCCTCCACGTCAGCAACGAAAGCATCAATAGCTTATACGAATTTTCTCCATACAAAATTCGTATAAGCCATCGATGCCACGTTCGATGAATCGGACAAAATGGTCATCGAGAGCGGCATGCATGTCAAATCCTTAAATGCTATACAAGAGCTTTATATGAAATGGCACCAGTGCGGCTCCAGGTGCTTCGGACACTCGCATCAGTGGGTAGTCGTACATGTCATCCACGACAAGGCACTTTTGGAACTGCAGGGTGGCTTCATTTCTTGTTGTTAATATCATTATACCAATCCCATCGTATTTTGGTTCGACGTCCAAGCGGATTGGCTATTTGTTTAAAAGTTCTCCATAATAAACATTTTGTTCCTGAATGTTCAAGAGAAGCAACGATTATGTTGCGCTTCGAAAAAAATAATACCTCAAACTAAAATAATAAGACTAAATAAAAAAAATTTAGCTTTTTCCTGCGTACAATCCTGCCATAAAATTTAGGACACAATCAAAAGATATGTGTTGCAAAGAGGTGTGCAGTGCAGTTTCCAACTTTGTACACAACAACATAATTTGTTGTTGTTATAATCTTATAATTTTCTAAGTGGATCGCCCAGACTATTCCATATTTCACCTTCTGAAAAATACAATAACTGCTTTTGTTTAAGCGTTATTTGGGGCTTTACAAATTATTAACGATGCTTATATGCCCACAATTTTTTAGCAGGGGAAAGTTAAAGCCGGGTTTAAGGTGCAAAAATTCACCCCGGAGTTAAAAATGAATTGGTCAAAGCACTATTAAAAGAGTTCAAAAGAACTACAGCCACTTCTAACATGACTTTCAC